GTCCAATCTTGTTTCCAGTATTGGGGTATGACCTGTTTGGCCACATTTAGGATTCTAATGTCATGGACTTCTTATATCGGGATCTGGGTATGGTTGTGTGGTGTAGGAGCATTGCTGCTGGCTCCAGTGGTGGTGGCGCGCCTGAGAATTTCTCTAGGATGTCATGTATGCCCACCCAGAACGGTTTAATTCTGTAGCATTCCCACCACAGGTGTAGTGTAGTGCCCTTTTCCTCTCCACACCTCCAGCATAGGTCAGATTGTGAGGGGTCAATTGCGTGTAGTATATTTGGGGTACGGTACCAGTGGCTCAGCAGTTTGAATGTCGTTTCTTGTTATTTATTTATTTTTAACATGGCAATAATGTTCTAGATTGTTCCATTTCATTTATTTTATTAGTTTGTTTAGAAATTGTTTTTACCAGTAAGAATGTATTGAGAGTTGTCTCATTTCCATAAATGTCCTCAAATACACAACAGATACAATCTTACAGCAAGATTACACATTCATCATACACAAAACAGAAACACAGAGCACTATCAGCAGTTGTTACAGGTTTGGTTTGCATTAAGATAGAGAGAATATTTTATTTCTACCTAGTTTTGGGTAGGTTATGTCACATTTGCAGAGGTCCGTATCAAAATACTGCTTGAGACATGTTGGAACAGGGAAAGGAGAGTAAGGTGCTAGAATTGAAGAATAGGTTATGAGGCTGTGCATGTGGCCTAGGTAGTATCAGAACTTATTGGAGCGGGGGTTATGAACCAGACAAGATGTACAAACAAGATTGTATTCATTAGTCACAAAATGAATTTCATTTCCATCTTTTTGTTTATCTTATTTTTTACAGATGTCACGTCCAATGTACAAGGTTGAAGTGGTAAATAACAATAGTCACAATAGCTACACCTGTTCTAAATTGTAGTTTGTAAAAAGAAGAAAACAATAAATAAAGATAATTTAGTAAGCGCCAAGTTTTCATAAAGGAAATCTTTTGATCGCTGGGAAATATTGCATTAATGTAGTTACCGTGTTTTATTAAGAAACACAACGCTACGTACAGAGCACTACGCAAATATGTCATGATAAGTAACATTGTAGAAAAATATAATGTCCACATTCAAGACAAAGCCAACAGATTGCCTATAAATGCTGATATAGTCTGGATAATGTGGAAAGCTTAACACAATGTTGATCTGACTTAGAACCAAAAGTATAAGAGTCAGGGTAATTGCTAAAGCAAAGTTGCTTTTCTCTGGCTGTAAAATAACTCAATTAGGATTCCTACAATAAAGGCTTTATTGTGAATTGGCCAAGCTATGGGGCATCCTAAGGGTTAATTGAGTCCAGTTTGCAAGGTAAAGGGAGATAGTTTCAATACTAAATGTTCACTGTGCTATGTGAACGTAGTTTGAAGTAAGGCTGATATACATCAAAGATAGTTTGCTTTGTCTTGAATGCGGATATTATATTTTTATTTTTGTGAATTACCAGGGGTTAAGCCCCAGACACCCCATGGAGTGTCATTTTGGTGACCGTATTCAAGTTGAGAGGATCTGCAGTAGCAGACTATCCCAACTTTTATATTTTTTCTTCATCGAGTAACATTGTAGCATTTGACAGCAGCCAAGTAGTTCACATATCTTCTTATAATTGGGATGACCTTAAATCTTGCTGGGTTCTTGACAATGCATAGTTGCCATCATTGTAGCCATGGTTTAGAGGATCCAAAAACTACGGTTGGGAACAGTGTGAGCCATCCATTCTATCAATATTGGCCTAACGCACAACTCGAATGTTCATCTAAGTGTGCAATTAAATAGAAATAACAAAACTGCACAATAAATCTGTATCTATTGCTATTCATTCTTTATATTTTGAAAATCCCAGAAGCTGTTACCTTTTATCATACTAGTTATTCAGCTGCCATTAGTCCTAGCTTTATTCCAGTCTAAATGTACTTAAATTCCATTACTGCATTTACCACTAGTATTTCTGCTTAAATATTATTCTGTGAATCCATAACAATTTCAGTAAATTCTTACCCTTCATCCATTGGCCTTTGGATTGGATAATAATATTAATGGTGGGCATGAGGGCCTACAAACTCCCTAGCAGTCTTGGTTGGGGTGTGGAGGTGTGCTCACATGCACTTATGCACTTATGCGTTCACACCACAGTCCTGCAGAGTTAGGAGGCTGCTTGCACAATAAAAGTAGACATTGGAGGATATTTTATTAGTAAGTGTTCTGAATAATGGGTGTTAAAGAAATCATTATTTTGATCATATTTATAAAAGTGTTCTAAGAGTAATCTAAAAAGTGCCAGTTTTCTTTATACTGAATGGAACAAGTTTTCGCAAAAATTGCTGTTTTAAGAAATAGAACAGAACAAACAGAAAAAAGTGGCCAAAAATCGATAATTCCATTGCATTGCAGAATAAATGGTGTATATTCAGAAATGACATTTAGGACACAAATGAAAATATGTGAAAAATTTGACCGATCAAATAAATTGCGCCAAATATGCACCAAAAATTAACTGTAAATGTATTGGCAACAGTTTAGTAAATTTCCCCCAATTTGTTGACATGCCCTAGAAGCACTTGGCTTGCTGAAGAGGAGCTATGGTTATCCAAATGTTATGTACTTTCAGTAAAGTAATATGTGTCTCCATATTGCACCCTGATTCTCTCTTCTTCTTCTTCCAATTCTTGGCCTGTGTGGGGGGTGTAGGACCAATAGTGGGCTAGAGGTCCTAAACCACAGACCTTCTTGGACAGCTAAATAGGGAAGATACGTTTCTCTAAATGATTTGAGAGGATAAGGGGTCTAACGTTTGGGTGTTGTGACGGAACGCTGGCACTCCGACTGAGTACGTCCGCCAATCGATGCGCCTAGTGCACGCTGAGTACTCCAAGCACTCCAACCGACACCATCAGCACTGCAGACCCCACTTCCAGCGATATAGCTGCGCCGGGGTCTCGCCGTCTCCACCACCTTGGATCCACGACCAGGATCCAGCTCCCAGTCGGTGAACCTCTCCTAAATCCAGAGAGCGTAGCAGGAACAAATCAAGCTATTGCAAGAGCTTACTCTGGGGAGTAAGTGATTATAGCAATCCCCAGAGTGTAGGTATCCCTTCCCCCAAACATGAGCCAAGGTTTCAAGAAAGGTACAAGATGATCTGATTTTAATGACCACACACTGGCTTTTATGCAAGTCCCCATGCAAGGGGACATCCCACAGGGTGGGACACAGTACAACCAATCCTTTAGGGGCAAACCGTAAAACACACCCAGCACCAACAAACAATCCCTCCCCTCTGCCTGTGATATAATTACTGAACACAATGGGTTAATGTGATTTATCACAGGCAGGACAAATACACTTTATGCAACATATTAATAACTTCCAAAATATACATGCCACAAACATGCCACATATACATGCCACATATTCGAACTCAGCACACTTTAATTATAAACATAGCCAAAAATCATACAATTCCCTCCAGTAGTTCAAAAGTTAGGTAAAAGTCCTATTTGTGACAAAACAGCTTGCTTCAACTGGTTTGGCAGTGTCCCTGGGACAATGCCCTGCTGGAGAACAATGGTATAGGTATAAGAGGGGGAGGGGAAGAGACACATGCTCCCATGGAATCAAAGGGCAGAAACAGTCTTTTAAAAGCCAATAAGCCCAAGTAGTCTTTTTAACTGGCAAAGTCTCCCAGGGACCATAGTCACATGGCAGGAGGCTGGCAATTAAGCCTCTCCAGGCAGAAGTGGCGAAGGGCACTTCGTCACAGGTGTTATTGAAGAAAAATAGCGGATATGATACTTGGAGGGTTTTTAATTAGTTTGAATAAAATGTAACGTGGTGGGAAATGCTTGCATCAAAGAAGTCCTAGCAAGATCCAGTTCTGGCTTTAAGAAACAGATCCTCCATAAAAAACAATTGCCAAATGCCTATAGAGTCTTTGTTATTGGGCTGCTTGGAGATGCAATTCAATGTGATAAAATGTTAATAGTGCCCATTAGCAAATAGGCCTTGCAGTCAAACCCACGATTCCTTGTCTGACGTATGCTGAGTACCACCCATAACTATAGATTTATGATCAACTCTTTTTAGACACAGTCCGAAAATGTGTTCTTTCATCTACTTGATCTTCAGGTCTTTTCAGTGTCAGCTTGTGTTTACCATCTTCGTTCTTGAAAGCAAGGAAGTATCCTTGGCCTAATGCAGACTCAAACACAAAGCTACTTGGATCTCCTTTAGAAGCGTTTTTCTGGTAGAAGATGACATCACTTGTGCTCCCATCAATTTTTTGGGGTGGGTCTCCTTCCTGAAATTGAAGAAAGATAAAAGAAGCAATATGTGTTTATTAGTATGTAGATGTCTCTAAATTATATAGCAGCTCATTGTTTAGGTGTAATCTGTCTGTCTATCCATCTGTCTGTCTGTCCATCTACCTTTCATACTTGCTCCATCTACCTGTGTGTTTGTCCACCCATTCCTCTGTTCATCCACCCGTCTGCCTGTCCTTCCGTCTGTCTGTCTATCCAGTCACTCGTCTGTCCACATGTCCGTCTGTCCCTCCTCCTGTCTTTATATCTTTCTCTCTATCTATCTGTGTCTGTCTGTCTTTATATATAGATTTGTGTTTCCTTTTATCTTCACATCACAATACCCTATCCAGATCTCAGTACGCACGAGTGAAGTGGGGAATAAAGTCTGTAATGCAGGGATACCTAATCACTAGTAGTTTTATGGAAACTATCATTACATTGATCCTGTCGTTTATTTTTATTTTTTTTGCTTTTGCCTGTTTATTTGCATGTCTAGTATCCAAATAAAGTTGTTGTTTTTTTCACATTCCTGCTATGTGTCAATATCATCTATTCACTATATTCATCTCCTGAGCCACGAATATTAGTCCCTGTTCGTGGGCAGAAACCTTCTCTCATTCATCAGCCCCTCTTTGGGAAACATTAAAACTCTTTACAAATGTCTGGTACAGCCCGTCTGATGATGGTGATGTGCTGATTTCTTTGCCAGCACATCAGCCCAAATAGCACGTCATGTGTCCTGCCGATCTCCCTTACATGTTTCCAGCTTATTCATGGGGAAAAAAAATATGTGCTTGTATTGCATGTGTCTTATAAACATTGATGCCAGGCAAGATAATAGCCTGTAGGGATGTTCTCTTGCCAACAAACATTGGCACAAAGACGATGCTGTTAGTATGACTGACATGGGAACAATGTAATTTTGAAAGCCTTTAGTTGCGGTATCTATATATTAGCACACAACGTATAGAGAGAATGAGGGAAGGTTTCCATTGAAATTAAGTACAAGGTACCATCTTCTGCTTTCTTAGAAACATAGAAAGATAGAATGTGAAGGGAGATAAGAACCATTCGGCCCATCTAGTCTGCCCAATTTTCTAAATACTTTCATTAGTCCCTGGCCTTATCTTATAGTAAGGAGAGCCTTATGCCTATCCCACGCATGCTTAAAATCCTTTACTGTGTTAACATCTACCACTTCAGCTGGAAGGCTATTCCATGCATCCACTATCCTCTCGGTAAAGTAATACTTCCTGATATTATTTTTAAACCTTTGTCCCTCTAATTTAAGACTATGTCCTCTTGTTGTTTTCTTCTTTTAAATATAGTCTCCTCCTTTACTGTGTTGATTCCCTTTAGGTATTTAAATATTTCTATCATATCCCCCCCGTCTTGTCTTTCCTCCAAGCTATACATGTTAAGTTCCTTTAACCTTTCCTGGTAAGTTTCTGCAATACATGAACCAGTTTAGTAGCCCTATCAATGTAATTCTGAAGATACGGTCTCCAGTACTGTGTGCAATACTCCAAGTGAGGTCACACCAGTGTTCTGTATAATGGCATGAGCACTTCCCTCTTTCTACTGCTAATACCTCTACCTATACAACCAAGAATTCTGCTAGCATTTCCTGTTGCTCTATTACATTGTCTGCCTACCTTTAAGTCATCTGAAATAATCACCCCTAAATCCCTTTCCTTTCCTTGCTAAGATTTGAACTGGTTAAATTGATAGTTGTGCTAGTGTAGAATTGTATTACCTTGAAGCGAAGCTCTTTCGTGTTTATGCAGGATAAGTAGTACGTCTTGTTTAGAATTGTGATGGTAAATGCCACTGAAAATCCTTTACACAATGTATCTCTGTAAATTAGCAGTTTAAAACACGCTCGATCTGCAGGGAAACAAGCTTTTTTTTTTAGCTATTTATTTGCAATCTAGGAAATACAGTTAATGTACAACATCAACAAGTGTCACTAATCTTAAATTGTAGTAAAATATGACTATATGAGATTACATACCAATAGATTAAAAATACAATAACAGAGAAAAATAATATAATATAATAATTATGGGCTCCTTTACATGCTTGTCACCTTTTTATTAAAACTTACACCTGTCTCGTTTCAGTGTAAAGGGAAAAAGACAAGCTAACAATTGGAATCTCTCAATGTATCACCTATTAAAAAAAAATGTGCAAAATCTATATTTAACAACATTAAAATGGAATAAATTCTTTAGTAAATAAATGTTTAAAAAAAATTCACAGGATTAATTAAACATCTTGAAACATATAATAGAAATGTACATGTCTCAGTATGTACCATAGGATAATAAATATTAAAAAAACAGATCTAATTGTTATTATTATTGGCATTTATATAGCACCAACAGATTCCGTAGCGCTTTACAATATTAAAAGAAGGGAGCGATTTAACTATAAATAGGACAATTACAAAACACTTACAGGAACGATAGGTTGAAGAGGGCCCTGCTCAAACAAGCTTACAGTCTATAGGACAGGGGTAGGGAACCTTTTAGCAGCACTGTGCCGATATGGGATTGTGATGTCCCGTAGCGTGCCGATCCTATTTTTTTAAATTGAGGTGTGTATGCTGCCGTATTCTGCTTGTGTTATTTTTACTGTAATTGCTTTGTATATGAGATTACGTTGTATTTGTGCGTATATGAGCTATTATATTGTATATGTTCATTAGCAGTTTATGGTATCGTGTATGATATATATGAATGTGGGCTGTGTATGAGGGCTGCTTGTGGAATTGTGTGTGGATGGATATGTCACATTATGTGTTTGGTAGTGTGTGGGGGCTGTTTGGGGTATTGCATGTGAGAGGCCGCATGTGGAGTTGTGTGCATGTATGTATATTGTTAGTGGAGTTGTGTTTGTGGGGATTGTGTGTTGTGTGTTGTGTGTGTGTGGGCTGTTCATATTATTTGTATGAGGGGAGGGTTATTCTACATTTCTGTGTATATCTAGCAGTGTGGGTGGGTTCCCTGGGTTCCAGTGGGGACCAGGCTGGCCAGGCACAGGTCAAGGACAGGAGCTGCGATAGCTGTCGAGGGCTGCTCTACTACTGTGTGGATTCCCATTCCCATTCACAAGTGCTGGGAGGAAGTGATCTGAGATCACTTCCTCTATGTGCTGCAATGCATAAATTGAGGTTTTTCCTTCACCACCTCTTCGTATTAGCAGATATCTGAAGCCTTACTGGGACTCCTGATAGGCCAGAGTGCGTTTGGCTCTAGCAGCCTTGAGTGCCGTGCAAAGACACATCGAGTGCCGTGCATGGCACTAGTGCCGTAGGTTGCCTACCCCTGCTATAGGAGGTGGGGTATGAAATACAATAGGACAGGAGCTAGCATTCATATATGGTGGGAGAGAAGCAGAGCTTGAGGAGAGCGTAGAGTGCTGCCATTTAGGAGAAATCCAGAGACAGGTATGTGAGGTTGGGGTTACTCCGAGGGGACCATAAGCTTTCATAAATAGATGGGTTTTAAGGCAGTTCTTAAACAATTGAAGACTAGAGGAGAGTCTGATGGTGGTAGACAGGCTATTCCATAGGAAGAGAGCCGACCGCGAGAAGTCCATGAGTTGGCCAAACGGGGCAAGGTCATGGGCAGAGCGGAGAGACAGAGAAGGGGCATACCTATAGATCTGTGAGGAGATATAAGAGGTGCCAGAATTGTTCAATGCTTTATATGTATGGATTAGTACTTTCAATTGACTCCTGTAGGATATATGAAGCCAATGTAAGGACTGACAGAGGGTTGCGGTGTGAGAGGACTGACTGGAGAGGAAAATCAGTCTGGCGGCAGCATTCATTACAGACTGTAGCGGGGCAATACAGCTTTTGAGAAGACCAATTAGGAGAGGGTTACAATCCATGCAAGAAATGGTCAATCCATGCTAGAGCATGGACAATCTCCTCAGTAGCATCTTGCATAAGACAGGGATGGGTGCCAAATCTACTGGATTTGGTAACATACTGGATATGAGGCTCACAGGTGAAGCCAGAATCAAGTATAACGCCAAGACAGCGCACTTGCAAGGATAGACTAATGTGGATACCACTAACTTGAAGGGAGAGCGAAAGAGGAGGATCAGTAGATAAAATAAAGAAAGGCAAGCAGTGACACATTGCAAGACAGCAGCAGAGAGGTCAAGAAGAATTAGAATTGAATAGGGGCCTTTAGATTTAGCTGCGATTAGGTTGTTAATAACTTTCATAAGAGCAGTCTCAGTAGAGTGGAGGGCGCTGAAGCCAAATTGAAGAGGGTCAAGGAGAGAGTTAGAATTGAGGAAATGAGACATATGGGTAATGACAAGTCTTTCCAGAAGCTTTGAGGAAAAAGGGAGCAGGGAGATGGTACGATAGAAGGAGGGGGAGGACGGCTCAAGAGCTGGGTTTTTTTCAGAGCAGTCTCAGTAGAGTGGAGGGTGTGGAAGCCAATTTGAAGAGGGTCAAGGAGAGAGTTGGAATTGGGGAAATGAGACATACAGGTAAAGACAAGTGTTTCCAGAAGCTTTGAGGAAAAAGACAGCAGGGAGATGGGACGATTGAAGGAGGGGGAGGACGGCTCAAGAGCTGTTTTTTTTCAGGATGGGTACAACAGTGGCATGTTTAAGGTCAGTAGGGACAACGCCAGAAGAGAGAGAGCAGTTGAAGATGTGTGTTAGGAAGGCACAAGACAAGGGGAGAGAGACCTGATAAGGTGATGGGACTGGATCAAGTGGGCAAGTGGTGGGGCAAGAGGAAAGGAGAAGCGCATCCACTTCTTGTTCAGTAGCTGGGGAGAAAGTCTGAAGGATTGGAAAGGCATGATCTGCGTGTGGTTAAGAAAGAGAGAGGCAAGGTAGGGAGAATTCGTTCCTTAGCTATTCATGTGAATGATATTCCGAATATCTTGTTACAATACTGGGATTCATTTACAAGAAAAAAGTAATGTCATTGGCAGGGGTATCTTCCATTGATTGAGTCACTTTATATGTTGCAGAGCCTTGACCCAGAGTTCCATCAGTTTTTTTTTACTTTTAGTTAGACAACATTGTGAATCCAAACATGTGATGGCAGACATCACATCTGCCTACATGCAACTCATCGACTGGCCTATTCATTGGCCTGTGAGTGGACCATACCATGCTACCTAGGTGGGGGGCAGAGAAAATCAGATAACATTCAGTTACTAGCGGCTGCCTTGGAGGATTTCAACATGCTCTACTGAATTGGTTCTTCATGACACCAATATAGTTGAGCTATTGCGATTCTGGTGCTTGGAGTATTCCTTTTACGCCAGCCTGGAACTATAACTTTAACAGGCAAATAGACAATTCTTGTTTTATTTACCTTTGTCATACTCTTTCTTAAATGTGGCTACATCTCCACTGAAATCTTCAGGGTGAGCTTCAAGAGCCTCTTTGAAATAGTTTAAGATAACGGCTTGCACAGTGTTTTTCGACTTTGCCCAAGAATCACACTGTAATTCAGATTCTGTAATCACAACCGATAAAAACAAACGTTAATGAGAGCCATCAAACATCCTAAAATCAGAACACGTATGACATTTAGTCATGAATATTATTTTAGTTAATAGTTGCAAAATATACACATACTGCCTAATGCGTACATCCATACACACATACTGCTTAATACCTACATCCACACACACTGCCTAATACATCCATCCATTAACACACACTGCTTAATGTGTACATCCATAAACACACACTGCTTAATGTGTACATCCATAAACACACACTGCTTAATGTGTACATCCATAAACACACACTGCTTAATGTGTACATCCATAAACACACACTGCTTAATGTGTACATCCATAAACACACACTGCTTAATGTGTACATCCATAAACACACACTGCCGAATACATCCATTCATACACACATACTGCCTAATACATGCATCCTTACACACATACTGCTTAATACCTACATCCATACACACATACTGCCTAAAACATGCATCCTTACACACATACTGCTTAATACCTACATCCATACACACATACTGCCTAATACATGCATCCTTACATACATACTGCTTAATACCGACATTCATACACACATACTGCCTAATACCTACATTCATACACACATGCTGCGTAATACATGCATCCAGGGCCGCCATCAGGGGGTGACAACCATAACGCTGATGAGGCCCATTGGGTGGCCCATGCACTTAGGGCCACCCGATGGGCACTATATCTTCATGGGCCCGGTCAGCGCTGTGGCCATGGTATAGCGCGACCGGGCCCCTTTAAAAAATAAAAACAAAAAAAAAGCAGCCGCAGCAAGTGCTGCTGGGAGGAAGTGGTAACTTCCTTCTAGCTCACTCCGCGTGGGACGAGCATGCACCCGGCAGTGAGGGAGAGCCACACAGCCCCAGCCACCCTCCTGCAAAGAAAAGGTAAGAAACAGGAGGGTGGCTGGAAAATGAGCTGTGTGTTTGTATGTATGTCTGTATGTATGTCTGTATGCATGTATGTCTATGTGCGTGCATGCATGTCTATTTATGTATGTCTATGTATGTATGTATGTCTATATATGTATATATGTATGTCTGTATGTCATTATGAATGTATGTCTGTATGTATGTATGCATGTATCAATGTATGTCATTATGTATGTCTGTCAGTATGTCTGTATGTGTATATGTCTGTCAGTATGTATGTATATGTCTGTATGTATGTATGCAAGTATCAATGTATGTCTGTATGTCTGTCAGTATGTATGTATATATGTATGCATGTATGTCTGTCTGTATGTATGTATATATGAATGTATGTTTGCATGTATGTATGTATGCCAGTATCATTGTATGTCTGTATGTCATTATGTATGTATATATGTATGTCTGTATGAATGTATGTCTGCATATCATTATGAACGTATGTCTGTGTGTATGTGTGTGTGGATGTCTGTATGCATGTATGTCAGTATGTATGTCTGTCTGTCAGTATGTCTGTATATATGCATGTTTGTCAGTCTGTATGTATGTATGTATGCATGCCATTATGAATGTATGTCTGTGAATGTCTGTATGCCATTATTAATGTATGTGTGTATGGATGTCAGTGTCTGTATGTGTGTATGTATGTGTGTATGTATGTTGGTGTCTGTATGTATGTCAGTGTGTATGTATGTATATGTCTTTATGTCGTCATGTATGTGTGTCTGTATGTATGTTAGTATGTGTCTGTCTGTCACTATGTATGCCTGTGTGTCTCTATATGTGTGTATGTCTCAGTATGTGTGTGTCAGTATGTATGCCTGTATGCGTCTATGTCTGTTTCAGTATGTGTGTCTGTTAGTATGTATCTGTGTCCTTTTGTATCAGTGTGTGTGTTTGTGTCTGTGTGTATTCCTGTGGGCGGTATTTGAAGGCGGACCCTGTGGGCGGTATTTGGAGGCAGGCCCCAAGGGGACCAGACCCTGAGCTGAGTTAGTGGCCCCAAAATTTCTGGTGGCGGCCCTGCGTGCATCCATACACACATACTGCTTAATGCGTAAATCCATACACACATACTGCTTATTGCGTAATCCATATACACATACTGCTTAATGCGCATTGCGCACATCCATACACACATACTGCCTAATACCTACATCCATACACACATACTGCCTAAAGCATGCATCCATACACACATACTACCTAATACATATATTGTACATTGAATACATAATGTATCTCTGTGATAAATTATGTATTCAATGCATTTGGTGAATTTAATTTATAAGACTAGCACAGACGAGCACACACACTGACAGACACACTCACTGACAGAAACTCACTGACAGACATACTCACTGACAAACACACACTCACTTTCAGACACATACTCAGTCACTGACAGACACAAACACTCACAGACATACACTTACTGACAGACACACAAAGACACACACTCACTGACAGACAGATACACACTCACTGACAGACATACACTCACTCACTGACACACACACACAGACATACACTCACTCACTGACAGTCAAACACACACTCACTTACACACAGACTCACACAATTTAATTTAATTGGGGTCCAGTGTGGTGCCGCTTCTCACTCCTCCAGTGTGCTGTTTAGTATGCCGGGGCCGGAATAATGTCATATTCCGACTCCCGGCATGAAAGAGGGCGCGTGAGGGAGTAGTGGAAAGCTGCGAGAACAGCCTCCCTCGCAACCCACATTGTCGCGGCCTGCCTCCTGTCCCCCTCTCCTCCAGTATTTCTCGCTAGAGCAGGCGCTTGCCATCAAGGTAAACAGGTGCCTGCTCTTCCTAAAAAGTCTGTATGGGTCAGTGTCACTGTCTGTATGGGTCAGTGTCACTGTCTGTATGGGTCAGTGTGTCTGCCTGTATGGGTCAGTGTGTCTGTCTGTATGGGTCAGTGTGTCAGTCTATATGGGTCAGTGTGTCTGTCTGTATCAGTCAGTGTGTCTGTCTGCATGGGTCAGTGTGTCTGTCTGCATGGGTCAGTGTGTCAGTCTGTATGGGTCAGTGTGTCAGTCTGTATGGGTCAGGTTTGTTTTTTTTATTCTTGAGTTCGGAGAGGTTTGGCACTAGAAAACTCTGTCTACGGGTACTCATGCTATAAATCCAGTCCAGATTTTTTTGTATAGTTGGTATGGGTTGCACTCTTTTCTGAAATTATATTAAAAAGTGGTCTCTGGGGAAATTTGACATTTTTTACAGTTATTTACAAGAATATTTTTTTGCAGTAAAAATTTATGTTTGCACTATTCAAACTGGTTGTGGGTTTTATTTTAAAAAAGAGAGGAAAAGGTAAATGTTTCAAATATGTGTTTGTCAACTGAATAATTTGTTTTATTCAATTCAGAATCCAAATATTAAACCATTGCAAAATCCTATCAATAAATATTAAATTGAGGCCATAATCTGATACAATTCTTTAGTGCATTGTAAAATCAGAGACCTTATAAGTATTGATACGTACTGACAAAGCAAAGAATCCCATTTTTTACACCAGGCAGGAGGTAATACACTTCTATGAAAAAGAAACAGACAATGTAACAAACAACTACAAAACTTGTATTTTTTTATTACTTTGTATAATCTCAATAAAACATTTTTTTTTTTAAAAACGAAAAAGGTACAACCAAGATAGAGCTTAGTATAGTCAAATTGCAAAAACTATATTGTGGATTGTACATTTTTTGAATATCAAGTTGAATGCAAGTTGCTAGGGTTCCAGGCAAGTGAAGGCCAGCAAGGAGGCAGGGACCACTAACTATCAGAGGTGTTGTGCGGTGACCTCACTGAACCTTCTTAAAGGACCAGTATAGGCACCCAGACCACTTCAGCTCAATGAAGTGGTCTGGGTGCCAGGTCCCTTTAGTTTTAACCCTGCAGCTGAAAACATAGCAGTTTCACAGAAACTGCTATGTTTACACTGCTGGGTTAATTCAGCCTCTAGTGGCTGTCACACTGACAGCCATTATAGGCCGCTTCTGTGATTGTCACTGTGATTCTCACTGTAAGAAGACACTGATGTCCATAGGAAAACATTGAGTAATGCTTTCCTATGGGCAATTTTAATGTGCGCGCGGCTCTGGCCGCGCATGCGCATTCGGCTCCACTCAGGAGCCAACGTCGGAGGGGGAGGAGAGGTCACCAGTGCCAAGGGAGCCTGGCGCTAGATAAAGGTAAGTGGCTGAAGGGGTTTTAACCCCTTCAGTTCAGCGGGAGGGGGGCCATGAGGGTGGGAGGGACCTAAGGACTACATAGTGCCAGGAAAACAAGTTTGTTTTCCTGGCACTATAGTGTTCTTTTAATACTAAATGCAGGAGAAGGTCATATTTGATAGATGTTGTATGGATATATGATGTATATAAACCATATTTGCCACCATGCCAAAAACTGTCAGCTTTTCTCAGCTTTCCAGCCTTCATAATACATATATTGTATGTAATGTATGCCATTATTACTAATTACAATTGTCCACAACCCATAGAGTACCCATAAATACATAGAAACATAGAATGTGACGGCACATAAGAACCTTTCGGCCCATCTAGTCTGCCCAATTTTCTAAATACTTTCATTAGTCCCTGGCCTTATCTCATAGTTAGGATAGCCTTATGTCTATCCCATGCATGCTTAACCCCTTAAGGACCAAACTTCTGGAATAAAAGGGAATCATGACATGTCACACATGTCATGTGTCCTTAAGGGGTTAAACTCCTTTACTGTGTTAACCTCTACCACTTTAGCTGGAAGGCCATTCAATGCATCCACTACCCTCTCAGTAAAGTAATACTTCCTGATATTATTTTTAAACCTTTGCCCCTCTAATTTAAGACTATGTCCTCTTGTTGTGGTAGTTTTTCTTCTTTTAAATAGTCTTTAGAGGTAGGGTTAGGGATACTGTTAGGGGTAAGGTTAGAGTTAGGGGTCAGGGGTTGGGTTAGATTCCTGTCATCATTCCCATAATTTTCCCTCCTTCTCCTGTTTTGCAACTTTTCAAAATCTGAAGCACTTTGGCACTTGCGAAATTCGGCACTTCTGAAATTCGGCAATTCAGACATTCTGAAGCATCCAAATGTCCGAATTGCGAATCGCACATGTCTAGTCAGGAATACACTTTGTGTCCCTGTCCCTATAGTGTTCCTTTATGTTCCTTTACTTAGGTTGCTTAAAAGGTAATAACACTTAACTTATTTTCAGCACTGGTGCTGGCCCTGCCCCCGATTCGCCTCCTTGACTGACATCAGAATTGATCCCATAGGAAAATCATTGGATTGGCTGAGATCGTCAAGGAGGCGGGACAGGGGCAGGGCCAAATGCTGGCGTGGGCAATCAGCACCTCCTGATAAAGATGCATTGAATAAATCCATCTCCATGGGAAAGTTCAGCGTCTCCATGCAGAGTGTGGAAACACTGAACCTCTAGTGGCCTGCAGGGACTGACTATACTAACCAGAACAACTACATTAAGCTGTAGTTGTTCTGGTGACTATAGTGTCCCTTTAAAGTGAACCCGTCAGGACAGGTTCACTTTTAAAAATGCTTGAACTTAAACATATTTTGCCTTGTAAGAAAAGTTCTTTAAATTCTAAATTGATCCACTGGATCCATACAATGGAGAGAATGATTCTGATTCAAATACATGTATAAAGGTTTAAAGTAAGTACATTCCAAATTCCTAGATCTGTGTGAAAACTGTTTGCCAAATCTCTGACATGTAAGATTTATACTTAAATTTCTTTAATTTTTCTATATTCTTCTCTATTCTCTGTGCTTCACAACACTTTAAAAAACACTGCAGGCTGTAGTTCAACCATTATTTTATTTGAATGCATTAAAAATATTTAAGCAAAAATATAAGTTAAATACAACAAATATTATAGGCCTTGTAGCATCTGCAGTGAGCTTTTCACAGACCAGGAAGTGAATCCAGTCGAATTGAGCCCACGTAACTACGTAAAGCACTGTTGAGCTTATTTATAAGATGCTTCTGAGGGAATTAAAATAAGTTCTGTTGTAAGCTATTTACTATAGAAAAATCAGCTAAGCTGTAACTCACAGAATGTTATAACTGCTGTGCATCAGTTTTATTGGCGTAAACGAGAAATTGTCTAAAGCTAAAATGACCACAGACCCCTTCTACCTTACCACTACCTATGCCCACTGACGCCTCCCCTTACACACAGACTAAGATCTAAACAGCCTAGCCCTACTCAGTCACCTGTCCAGGCTCACTCTGGTCTAGTCTGACCCCTTGAGCTTCAGTAATATTAGAGCAAACGAGAAAACACTGGAAGTTGTGAATGAAGAAAAAGTGAGCTTGGGGATGAAACCATAGAATAAAAGATTGAAAGATAAATAATATAATAAAAAGTAGAAACTAGGTGTAACCTAATATAATCTACACACTGTGCCAAATGCGTGGGAGTCTGGAATGCTTCAACTGAAAAAAATATGCAAACACATTGTTGTGTCATAATATCCGTACGTATATAAATTTATACTCACAATGCTAGAGCCTCCTAGTTTGGCTCTATGTGTAGTAGTCTCTTAACAAAACAAACAAAAAAACTGATGCCTCATTTGAGTAATGAATACGGAGTAAAGTAAAATTTTGGTTTAACCACATTTCAAATGTTGATTGCACTCACAGTTAATAAGTCACAAGCCCTTCTAGACTTCCTTTACAATATGGAATATGCTTTCTTTTGTGAAACAAGTAATAACATGTACAGACACATATTGTATTTAATAAAGGATCCTAGATTATTCTAGAAACTAGGGGGCTCCACAAGAAGAACCTTATTGTACCCCATGTTCAGGTAGGCAGACCTGTTCGCTAAATACTGAAAAATGGATGAATTCATTGGAAATGGATGATCTCCCATCGGACAGGACATTCCGATATTTACTAAAGCAAATTCTGGTTAGAATTCAGTCATCATGACCAAATCGGCACCAGTTGGCCAGATGTATTCGGTGTCAGTTTTAAAACCAGCATGCAGGCTGTAGAAACTATACAGAAACTAAAGGATTCACACATAGACTGAGCACCACTTGTAAAGATAATAGGATTTTGCTTGTTTACTTTTTACTGTGAAGACTGGTTAGCAGTTTTTGGTCAGCTGCCAAATCACTTAACCTTCATGCTGCGGAGAGTTTATTTAACTATTTGTTCGCTTGCTGACATTGTATTTTTTTCAGACAAAACACAGACCCAGATTTTAAGCATCTATGCCCGGGTTTCAGCCATATTTCAGCCAAATTCTAGCTCATTTGGAGCCACCAGTACAAAATCCAGACTTTACTAGATAGTGTGCAGCCCAAACGGTCACATATGCAACCAGGTGATTGTGCACCATTCGGCATAGGGCCATTCGGACCTGAAAGAGATCATTTACCCTTTCAGGAGGGCTAACATTATAATTTTCTGTAGTTTTCCATAGCAACCTGACAATGAAAAGTCTCATAAATAATTGTAAAAGACCAGATGCTGGCCAAGCTTCAGGTCTTCATTTCCCATAACATTTCTGGGTTTAGACTTCCCACAACTTCCGGACCTGTGAACCCCCAACAATACCAGGGGATGTCCCTTTATAAAGAAAGTCTGTAGCTAAAGAGTCCACAATCCCCTGACCTCCTTCAGAATGAAAATAAAATATCCCCTTTCTGCATCCCATCTGTTGTGAATCTAAAAAAAAAGACGGGAATTTCCACAACCTTGAAAATAAAAGAAAAAACTAAACTCTGTAAAGGGCAGTTTAACTACCATGACCTCTACATCCTGTGGTAACAATGGCAGGTCTGTCTCCAGTTCTGTGTGAAATGTTTTAAGGCCCCGAGGCACCCATGGCTCACCTCTCATTTCTCAAATTACTAATGTGAAAAGTCTATTTTCATTCCAAACAGCTATTAAAAAAAATTATTGCAAACCATGGAAAACAAACTAATAAATAAAACAACGGTTTGCAGAAAATTTGCATTAAAATATAGATTTAATATAATAAATTAATAATTGCATTATCGGTGGCTGTGAATGTAGACAGGATTAATCGTGGGTGGGTGCACAATGTACACCGCGCCCAGGCGCCATGAGAGCAGAGGCAAAAAGGGAACGCAGGGAATGATGACTCGGGTTAGATCTCCAAGTGGGCCCTAAAAAGCCACAGGTCTAAAACGTGCCATTCATAATTATTAGTTTTTTATTTTTTTATTTAAAAAGTGGTTTTTTGCTTGTTTTTAAAGCAGCTCCTGTGCCCCTACAGCTTGTGTGTACTCTCTCTTCTCAGCTCCTGCCCCCCCTACAGCCCCTGCCATGCCACTCCACAGCTCCTATCCCACCCTCTACAGCCCCTGTCCCCCTACAACCTCTGTCCTTCCCCTACAGCCCCCTGCCATGCTACTCCACAGCTCCTATCCCACCTCTACAGCCCCTGTCCCCTCTACAACCTTCGTTCCTTCCTTCTACAGCCCCTGCCATGCCATCTACAGCTCCTATCCCACCCCTACAGCCCTCCCTGTCCCTCTACAACCTCTGTCCTTCCCTCTACAGCCCTGCCATGCCATCCAGCTCCTATCCCACCCTACAGCCCCCATCCCTACAGTAACCTCCCACCTCTTCCCTCTACAGCCCCCTGCCATGCCATCTACAGCTCCTATCCCACCTCTACAGCCCCTGTCCCCCTCTACAACCTCTGTCCTCCCCTCTACAGCCCCTGCCATGCCATCTACAGCTCCTATCCCACCTCTACAGCCCCTGTCCCCCTCTACAACCTCTGTCCTTCCCTCTACAGCCCCTGCCATGCCATCTACAGCTCCTATCCCACCTCTACAGCCCCTGTCCCCCTCTACAACCTCTGTCCTTCCCTCTACAGCCCCTTTGCCCCCTCTACAGCTCGTGCCCTCTCTCTTCAGTTCCTGCCCCACCTCTACAGCACCTGCCATGCAATCTACAGCTCCTGTCCCACCTGTACAGCCCCTGTCCCCCTCTACAGCCTCTGTACCTCCCTCTATAGCCCCTGTGCCCCCTCTAGAGCCCCTGTCCCTCTCTCTACAGCCCTTTCCACCTCTATAGCACGTTCATTATTCTGCAGTCCCTGCCCCCCTTTTACAGCTCCTGTTCCCCATCTACAGTCATATCATGTCCCCCCTACAACACCTGCCCTCCTACTACTACTCCTAACTACCCTAATACACATCCCTCCCACAGCCTCTATCCCACCACTTGCAGCCCTTATACCCTACTAGAGCACCTAACCCCACTTTTAAAGCCATACCCCCACTATAACCCCTATTCCCTTGCTACAGTCATTATCTGTCACTACAGTCCAATAGCACCCCCCACTACAGCCCCACTCAGTCTGAATTGTGCCATCTTGGGTTTAATTCACTACAATTTGGAGGTTTTGTGACTATTTTAGCTCAACGTTTGCAATTCAATTTTCAATTTACTACAACTCAGTTTAGTGAGCAAACCCCGCATTGTGAATGGACAAGATGTTACTACTATAGCGAATGTGCAATTTCCGCTCGCGAACCATCTCAAATAAATGAACTGTGACACATGTATTTCTAGAAGAGACCTTTCCAGCTTTCTTGCCATACAAATTATTATTCTTGATTTGTTTTTCCGATTTCATGTCTTTGTCAACATTTTTTACACAGGATGCAAAGATCAAAATCTGAGAGTGTTACTTATTTAGCACTAAACTAAAATCTGAATTGCAAAATGTACCCAAATAGTTCAAATGTTTCCATCTCAGCTAGCCAATAAACCCCAAACTCTAATGAATTGAAATACAAATGTCAAAATAGAAACGCTGTAACAACACGTGAGTTGGAGAATTTTTACAAATCCGCTATTTTTCCTTAATTTTGTAAGTCAATTTCCACTCCACTGAATTACAGAACTAATGCATCTCCAACTCAGCTGTAGTCCCAGCTCAATTCTTCTAGTTTAAAGTTTGCAATTCAGTTTTCAATTCACTATTATTATTATTATTATTTTATTATTTATATAGCGCCGACAAATTCCGTAGCGCTGTACAATGGGTGGACTAACAGACACATAATTGAGATCAGACCACTGACGTACAGGAACAGAGGGGGTTGAGGGCCCTGCTCGATAAGCTTACATGCTAGAGGGAGTGGGGTATAGTGACACAAAGGGTTAAAGTAGGGGAATTAAATAGTTTGTTACAGAAGGGTTTGTATTCAATAGTTCACGACTTATTGAATAAGCCCTGTGTTAGTTTATCCTGATTCTTTGGATCTCCATAAAAAACAATGAATGAAAGGGTTTATGTAATTAGACTCAAAGAAAAGTATGCAGACTGGGGTAAAGTAAAATGTAACATTACCTGAATTGCAGTCAAATTGAATGCCGTTAGTAGCCATCGTCATGATTTGTTGTTTGGAATATGAGATTCAGACTTTGTTTTCTGCAAGTGTTGCAAGAAGTGGAAAAAGGCAGCAAAGACAAGCCTGCCAATGACAAACAGAACCTCCTCGTTGAGCAAGAAGGGGGTGGCCTATAATTTGTGTTACATCATTTGTGGGAATTGATTTAGCTCTCACTGATTCACGTGCAACAGTTCAAGAAGATACAAATAAATTATTTTAGCCTCATTTTTATTTATTTATTTATTCACGTGATAAAGAAAACAAACAAAAAGCAAAACAAATCACATATTCATTTAAAACAGGTGTGCTCAAAATTAGATCCACAGATGTTTTCAAACTACAACTCCCATGATGCTCTGCATGTCTTTAGAATGCCTTTAGAACGACAAAGCATCATAGAAGATGTAGTTTGAAAACATCTGGTGATCTACCTTTTGGGAACCCCTCATCTAACACCTATTTCGGGGATACTTGTCAATATAAGTTCCGTTAATATAAGATAAAGTCTGCATTTTATTATGCAAGTGGTAGGGTATTGCAGGGAAAAGGTAAACTTATCTTCAATGTGAAATGACAGAATTAAAATGTTCAGTTCAGAACAGTTTACAATAAA